AAGGGTCCCAGCGTTCTCGCGCACCTCGCTCTTCTAGCGGGTTAAACTTCACAAGTTGTTTTCCGCAATTTCGGTCGTAAAAACAAAGCAAGCTGGCCTCCTGTCTGCGTTCAGCTACAATTTGGGAGAGGTGCAGCGGAGCGTCTGTGGAGGGGGCGGGGACGTCTGGAGCAGAGGTATTGCACTGATTTTGTGCAGTATTTTTTGATGCAAGGCCTTTCAGAATCTATAATGCAGGGGTGTTATTATTTTTCAGTGAATGAGGTTTTAATAGGAATAGGTCTAGTACAACTTTTCTACTTCTGTTATTTGCTGTTGTTTCTCAAAAAAATGCATAACGATATTAAAGCTTTCATTGATTTATTTCAAAATTTAAACATTGTCTAGCCTGTAAGGTGTTAAAAAAAACAATTAATCGAATCGTGGTGTATTCTTGAGTATCGAAAATAATCGAATCGGTGGGTCAGGAAATCGATACTGAATCGAATCGCCATGATGGGTGAGATTTACACCCCTACCGGTTACGGAGGTCGTTCAACAGCAATCCTTGTGGTGTGGAAAACGAGACTCGTACAGATTTGAGTACCTCCTCACTTCTTCGCAGACTCACTCTTCTAGCTGGTCCTTCCTCGAGTCATTTTCCACAATAGCGGTCATACAAACAAAACAAGCTGGTAAGGTACCAAACAGGAAATATGCATAGAGGAGAGCGGATGTAGAGTTGACCAATCAGAGGCCTCCCTTCTCTCCTCCCTGCAAAGCTATCTGCTGCATGGTCTGCGGTCACCTACAATTTTGGGGAGGTGCACCAGAGTGTCTGCGGAAGGGGGGGGGGTGGCATATCCGTGTTAACTGTGACACACGCAGACGACCTGGTTTCTGAGCATAAATCAGTCTTTACTCCAGTCTTTATTTGTGACCCACTCTTCCATCGAACACTAAGGATCAGCCCCACAACCAGAGCAGGAGACCAACAAAGCTGCAGCAAAGGAACATGAATAATGTGAAAAGTTTTAAGCAGCATCATGAAGTTTTTCCATAAATCAACCTTAGATCCTACCACCAAACCGTTTTTCTACGTACTCTGCTCTGCCAGCCAGGTTTCTGTTTTCTACATTCGTTCATGTTCGTTTTTTTTTATTTTTTTATATTCAAGTTTTAATTAAAAGGCAGTATAGTCTTGTACAATCCTCCATTCCGTTTGTTATATTGATCCATACAACATACCACCTCGTGTGATTATCCGGTATTTAGTGTTCCTTTTTTTTTTTGTCTTTCCTCCTTCCCCAACCCGATTCCTATCAGAGGAGTGGGGAGGATAAAGAATGAACAAAGCATTGTTTCTACTGAGTAACTTTTACAAACCCGTAAAACAAATGTTCTAAAATGAACTGAGTACCTATGGAACAATGGGTGTCACATCACTGTCATTATGTACAAGTCTGGTGTCCAAGAAAGTCTAGCCTCGTGAGACCATCCTGATCTC